GTCATTAACGGATCTTCCCTTTAATAGATCCAGAGTTCCTTTTGATTAGATCACTTGGCTCATTTAGCACAACACATTTTCTGCACCTGGGGCTTATGTTTCTAATGCTGCAGCTGCTACAAGACTCATCTTAGAGGGCAGTCCCATAAGCTAGATATTCCATCAAAGAAGTTTTTAATACAATGTATTGCATACAATTACTATTTCTGTGCTGCATAAAGACCTAACCCTAAGGCAGACCTCTTTTCTGCTGTGAACTGTGAAGAACTGTTAAAAAAAAACAAAACAAAAACTAACAAAAAAATGCAAACAAGAAAAGAAATTAGGGCCAGAGAGGTTAGATATGCAGCAGGTAGCAAAAGTGACACTAGTGAGATATTAAATGGAGTGCCCTGGCTCATGCTCAAGTGTCCTCTTTATCTGGCCTCATCACTTCCCTGCAGCTATTAACAGATGCCTGGCAGAAAAATATAAATTCCACATGATAGATAATTATGTACTACCATATCCACATGGGATCATTCTCCTTACCTTCACAAAATTAGTGGGATGCCTATGTCCTAAACACAGGATTGTCTTATGCACTTCTACCAAATATATCTACTAACATTCTTGTAGGTATAATCAATTCAAAAGAAAAACAATGAAATTAAGAACAGACTGATTATTTAAAATCCATTTAATACATCAGAGATGCAGACAAAACTGTGAGCAAAACCATGCTACAGTGATTGTAACATGTACATACACAATACAACATACAACACAATTCATATGATCAAAAGTAGGTATTTGAACTACATACAACTAATGCAAGCTCATAATCTAAATTTTCCTTTATAGTGGGGGGAAAAAAATTTTCATTAGACTATGCCTGATCTCATTCTAAAGCAGATATCTCCTACGGAACCAAATCTAAAAAGTTGTTCTGATTTGGCTTTTTTTACTTATTGATTACAAAAAATTATTAAGGTGATAAGCTCAGACACTGCTATTTTCCCTGCCAGCACCTTGCTTAGGTGAGATGAATCTTGCTCTGGAAGTATGTTTAGAGATTCACTGAGAGCAAGATAAGTAATTATGGAAAAGTAACCAAAGTTATTTGGTTATAAAGTTATATGGTTATAAAGTCATACTGATCTATGACTTTTGGAACTTTGTTTCATTCTAATTACCGAACAGTAATTTCTGAAATACTTAAGCCCAACATAATTTTGTATGTGCATCTTTCTCTCCTTTCCATATTGTCTATATACATGTATCCAGATGTCGTGGTTTAGCGACAGCACTCCCAGTTTAGTGCTTCCACTGTGTCTGCAAACCATGTTTTGCTTGGGCGTTCACCACTTTCCTCTCCCCCTCCTCCTTGCTGCAGCAGGGAGAGAACTGGAGGGACAAAAGGCAAAGATCACAGGTTGACATAAGTAAAAATTACAGGGAACGGAGGGTAGAAGAGATGAATGATTGACCTAGGAAACCCCCTGACAACAGACAATACACGACTGTCCTGCCTAGGTTTATTCCACCAAAAGGAATAAACCACCCCTTCTCCCGAGTAGATTCTCTTCTTCTCGCCAGACAATGACAAGGCGTGGCACAGAAAAACCTCAGTTTTCTAGCCATGCCCCCACCTGGACAGTGCAAAAAATAACCCTCTCCTGGCCAGAACCAGGACACCAGTTTATTTTACCGAAATTTGCAAGTTTTTGGTATTTTTTTATTTTTTTTTAATCTGTGTTTTATCTCAACAGTTTTACTGTCCTTATCTGTATGTAAACTGGCAATGTATTTTTATAAATACTCTATTAAAAAAGTTAAAATCATAAGAAAAATAGACCAATAAAAAAAAAATTGATTATGCTTTGTCGCTAAGTAATTATATGCCCAAATTTTATTATTTTGCCTTGTAGGAAGATAGACTGCAATACTTAAAGCAGTGTTGTGAGGACAATGTCCATATTCATAAGAAACTAAGACCTGAATCACTCATCTTCGGGTTATATCAAGATAGCTTACAGAAATGTACTGAAAGCACTCTTAGGTAATATTGGCTATATTTAAATTCCCAGGAGGTTTGGAAGAAATTTGCTTATTATAAGAAATAGGAGCAGAAAGTGACACCCATTGAAATCAATTAATTTCCTTGAAAGATTGTGAAGAAAACTCTTGTAGAAATAAAAGAAATCAGTGGAAACTGCGTAGAAAGTATTTTTGTTACATTTGTTTTTCACCAAATTTTTGGGAGGTTTCATGAGTCTTGCTTTTTCCTCAAGCAGTATCTTATGTCTCTGGAGGCATAGAAGGCATGGAATTAAAAAAATCACTTACTAGCCAAGATGCTGCCGATCTAATTCATTGTGATAAGAACTGGGATACTCAAAAAACGTATTACAGAGATAAGATGTTAATCCAAAAAGATACTTGAACCCTTAAGAAAAAAAGTCATGCCACATTAAGCACATCAGGTTCCTGCTTTTTTAAAACAAAGGTAATGTTTTCCGAGTCACTGAATTGTTATGTTTTGACTTCCTTAAATTCAACTCAGTTGAAATATCTATGGTTTAGAATATATTAATTTTAAAGAAATACGTTTTCATTTTATAAAAAAGAAATTTAAAAATAGCATCTTACATTTTATTCATGTATTTATTATTATGTAGAGCAGATTTTATAAGGAAGGTATGGGAGAACAAATCACTGGTCTGGAATATATGAAATATATATATATATATCTCACAAGAAATGGAGCTGCCAGCAGTGGAATAATAGTGACAATGTTAAGATTTTCAAATGCCAAACCATGCTTGCCTCTGGTAGATAGATGGGAAGAACAATAATAAAAAAAATATTGACTTGTCTTTATTATTTTTTCCACAATAATTTAAAGAAATTTCTAATGTATTGTTTAGAAAAATGTTTTACAAAAGCATGGCAACCTGAAAATTTGAAGAGGTAATTTTACTTTTTTTTTTGAATAGTTAACCAGGACTGCTTAGTCTGTGAGATCTGAGCCCAGGCATTTTTTAATCATCAATTCTTTTTAGTTTGTTCACTTTTCTTTAGATCAAAAGCAAAATACATGCAAACCCTGACTGAGCAACATACTTCAATTTTTCTGGAATTAGATGGTCTCGTAGGACATAAATGAGATTGTTACCTGTCCAACCAACTTTACGTTTAATTTCTATTTCACCCATCAGACTCTACAAACTATCAATAGCGCAGTATTCAAAATCAAAAAAATCAATTTATGCATTAAAACAGCTGTTGGGAAAAAATATTATCTCTAAGGGAAGTAATGAAGTAATTCGCAACAGTGAAGCTGAGGAAAGACAAATTGCAGTATTTATTTCTCCAAGAGCTAGTAACTGTAAAAGGGGAAGGCTGCGTTGTCATTTGTGTATACCGATTTTTTGCCTTTCGTTATACAACAAAAATCACAGCAGTGAAGAATCCAATCTTGTTACTAGTTGTACCACAACTTAAGCAGTCATAAAAATAGTAGGGGGGAAAAAATGCAACAACCCTCAAATAAAAACAACATTTGTTCCCTAAAACAAACAAAAAAGCAAACAACCCCCACATTTAAACTTGTTTTAAATATTGTACATAAAATGTCTTTCTGGGAACTATAAATCTCTTGAGCAAGTGAGTTTTAATTTATTTTTTTTTAAATATTTAAAGAAATAAGGAGTTTTCAAGAAACGAGGAACATAGTTAGTGCTTTGTTTTCAGCATTAAAATTCTCCTTAATTATAATGACTTAAAAAATCTCCTTTCTATAAAACACTAGTCATAAAACAAAGTGACTTCTGTGTGTTGGTGAAGGTTCATTTTCAAGCTTGACTTCTATCAATCATCATACATTCTATAATGCATAAATCACTGTGATGATAGTATTTGCTTTGAAGGAAAATAATTTTTTTCTCTGTTAAGGTGGGAGAAATTTTAGTTGGACAGTGCTGGGTTTGGTTTTTTTTGGCTGGCTTGGAGAAATTTAAAAATCTAAACTGAATATGAAAATGGCTCTTACTGACTTCATCCATATCAACTCGGCCATTTTCTTGCAGTCACAAGATCTTGGACTCACTATTGCTTTCCAAGCTAGGAAAGATTTCCCTCTAGGGTCTTTTGGAGGCTATTGCTGCACAAATAATCAATGGGAAAAAAAGAAGGAAAAGTTGAAAGTTAAGACTGTATTTTAGAAATTCAAGCAGTCTGTATCTTAAATTCCTACTCCTATCCAAGATCTTAATCTAGTTCCTCCTTCTTAAATTGTCTTTTAATAGAGACGGGATTACTTTAACACCAACATTGTTCAAAATTGTATCTTGCACAAAGAAGAAAATTACCGAGTAAAAATATAACTTTATTGAGTCTACTTTTCATTTCTTAAAACTAACATATACTTATGGAAATTACTTACTAAATTTAATCCTTCCATAAATGAATTTTAAATCAGGAACTCAACAAGAACATTCCTGAGAAAATGAATAAATTAGAATGTGTTAGAAATTGTTATAAATTATAGAAAATCATCTCAGTAATAAAAAAAAATATTACTAGCATTATCAATAAAACCACGAAGTTTCTGTAACCATGAAAACATTGTACACATATGTAGAGTATAAAGTTATAATACTGATGAAACTCAGCTGTCTTGTTTTTTAGGTTTCTTATTTTTATCTTCTGAGTGTATATCCTTACTGTAGAAGTCAATCAGAAAAACAGTACATTATTTTCCCCATTTTCTGCATACTTAAGCTTTATTCATAAAAGAAACATTGTTTTGTTTTGCTTTTTCTTAGGCTTATTCATAGTTCAAAGATAAATTTTAGAAGGACAAAAAAAATCTCCAAGAAGGACAGTGAACCACTCTGAACCTTGGATTCCAGAACAACAGAAGCCACAGCTGCAGCCTATGGTTCAAGCTTAAGTAGAACTTTTTATCTTTGGAGAACTACAGAAGAAGAATTTCAGCACTTTTTTTTATTCTCTTTGGACTATAACAAAGAATCTGAGGAAAAAGGAAAGGCAGGGAAGGTAAGCAAGGGAAATGAAAAGTGTTCTTCTGTTAGAAGTAAATCTTGTTCATACTTTATATGCTTTTGAAAAGGATTGATCAATTTTAAATACTCCATTTCTGAATTTTTTTTCTAAAAAAACACACAATTTTACTGATGGTTGATGGAGGAAGGGATCTCTTTCCCCCTCTTTCCTCAAGGTTTGTTCCCAACAAGCCCTGTAGCATTCTAAGGAAGCAAAGTTACAAAGAAGTCATATCTACCTATGACAAGATGATCCAAAAAATCTTAAAATAAGCTTACATTTTGAAAGCTGACATTATTTCCCAGAGAGCAGTTTTTCTTAAAGATGTAAAAGAGAGATAAGAGAATTATTAATATTGTTTATAATATAAACCTCCATAGCCAAGCTTGAACTAGCTTCTTTATTAAAAGGCATTTAAGCAATTTCTGTGCTTACCTGATAAAATTGAGGAATTTGTTACAGAATTACACAGTTGTTGTACAAAGTTATTTTATGTAAAAGACTGTCATAAATCAGCTGAATAGAGTTACTGATGGTTTTCTTAGTGAATGATTCTCAGCCTTTTCAAGGTGGTGATCTATTAGTTGAAGAAAACAACAACCAAATTGTATATACTATGAAAGCAAGAGCATAGAATGAGTAAGTTTAGTTATTTTTTTTCTTATATTTCAGGAGCTGGCAAAGAGTAGTTGAACGAGAATAGAATGCAATGCAAATGTAAAGACTGGGATTTTCTTTGCTTTATTTTGTATAAGCAAGCTAAGTATTTTTGAAACCAAATTAACTTTCCTGATCCATTCTAGTTGTGTTTTAGATGTAAGAACTGAGAAATAATGCTCTAGAAGTAGATTTTTCATTACTAGTTTAGGGTTTTCCCTTCCAAATCTACAGACAGTAGGAAACCTGTCTATGAGGAACATGAAGATTCATTTCTGCGGTACAAAAAAACCTCAAAGTTAACTTCATTAAAATAATGTCCCCAGACATGGAAGAACCATGCTTATAAAAATTGCATTAGATATAAAAGAGAGAAAAATAGTAAAAAAGCAGATGAAGTTATAAGAAATAAAATTTTAGGTAGCAGTTTCTCCTATCTTACTGTTCATTTTATTCCACTGAAAAGCACCATCCATCCATCTTTGAACACACATTCAGAGGCAAAGCATCAAATCCTTTTCAGAGAGGAATTTCCTTAAAGGCATTGAGGTACACGATCTTAATAAGCAAAAAGTCAATCCTCACATTGCAGAGTGTAGCAGTCCCTGCATTCAGTAGAGTTTCCCACAGGAAATTCCTTTTGTCCTTTGCCTTTCCCACCACCTGCTTCTAATTTCAGGTAGAAGTTTAAGTCATTAAAAACTCTGAATGCTTCCCTGTATTTGTTTAGACAATTAGCAAAACTTTCATGTAGGTTTACCTTTATGAGTGGTCATTTTCTGTCACTCCTTGAGAGTTCAATCTGAGTAATTGTTATATTGATGAATAAGGGTTTTCTGAGTTTGTTTTGTTTTAGTGTTTCTTTTCTCTTGCCACATGCTGCTTCTTTCTCATAGCAATTAAATGTTCTATGACACTTCAGCTCATCAGATCAGTAGATTAAATGAAGGGTAGCCTTTACACAGCCCAGCCTTTTTGGGGAATAATCAGCTCTGGAAATTGGTTTGATTAAAGTCTGATTGTTTTCAGACCATGAAGTAATGCTAAAACTTTGAATAAAAGTATCTAGCATATCTGACAATCTCTCAGTATTTCCCATGTAAATTGATCTAATAAAATATATTGTTTTCCAATTAGAGACCTTATCTTATTCCAAATATCACTGTATCTAAATATGAATATGGTGTTGTATTTAGATTTGGTATGAAATTACTGCAGTGTCATGGAGGATCCGCTGTGGAGCTGAGTGGCTAAAAGAGTGATTTATTATAACTCAGGGTTTTATTTTGTGTGGAATTTCTGTGGGGTAATGTGCACTTTAATAAATTTGTGTGGTCTGTAATATAAACACTCTCATGGCTATAGAAGATTCTTGATCACATTTCAGTTCTGGTCACAATAGAAATTCCTCATCAAATGAGACAGTTAATATAATCTAGGTTCAGAGTCTGACTTCAAGGTTTAACTTTCCTTTAGAGCTGATGGAATAAAACAGGCTGTTCCAACAGATGCTACAGAACAGATAATATAGGGCATTTGCTCTGAATGAATATAAGATAAGGATCTCAGGCTGCTAAGCTTGAAAAAGTTAGTAGCTTTTTTATAAAGGATCTCTAAAATCTTTAAGAGAAAGTGTCATCCTGTATATTGACATAATGTCTAGTTCAGATGTGTTTTTTGATGGAATCTGCAAATCGTACTGCAAAACCAGTAGAGATATTGTCAGTAGAGATATGAGCAGCAAACCTCTGGAAAGCTTCTCATTCCTTTCAAACATCAATTTTTAAAGCAGATTTAAATTTTTTTAAAACCAAAAACTAAGGTAAGGAGACCAGCACACAGGTAGTATAAAAGAATGATAGTACACCATGTTTTCTACATGTCTTTAAAACTCTTGCCTTTTTAGAATGTTGCTTCTACTTAGTAATATTCTCTTTATCTACATTCATTTATTCAGTATTTCAATTGCAAACAGCTCAGAGTAGATTGTAACTTCAGATCTTCAGTGATAACTTGGATCAACTGCCTACTGTAATTTAATTGTATTTTCAGCAAATTAGTTTCATCTGCAAATCAAAACATTTGCATCAGCTGTACTGTTGCAGACATGTTGGACTACTTGCAGCAAATCTGAATGTTCTTTGCTGCTAATAAGAAGGGACATACAATTTGTTTATTTATAGACTTTACAAGACTACAGTGTTTTGAAAATTCTAATATGTGCAAGAACTGGTTTGATTCTTATAAATAGAGGTTAAAGAGTCTCAACTAATGCAACTTGCATAAAAAAAAAAAGTGTAAATACTGAGGTTGAAAGATGATAATAAACAGAAATCTGAAAAAAAATACTCCTAGTATAATGTACATCATCCAGCATTGGCTTATACTTAGAAACCCCCAAAATGCAACTGGCATCTTGCTGACTACGTGCTGTCAAAAAACAGGAGATGATAAAACATTATAACAAAAAATAAATATAATATAAACAAAGTACAGGAAATAAAAGGAGGAAAAAATAGACCCACTGTAAATAGAAAAATGGGGGAAACATAAAAGTTAAGAAAACAAAGAAAAGATTTCTACAGGAATACAGCATGACAGACTGCCAGTAGGATGGAGGAAAGATAATGCAGTGGCTAGTCTTGAAAAGTGATGTCAAACTAGAGATACAATGGTAATACAGAAAAATGCCTACTGGAAAGATGAATAGGCTCCCTTTAACCATGACTAGAACATGAACTGCAAAAGAGAGAATTGTGAGATGTACTGCATCCACCCAGCAGTGAAACCAGCACAGATTCCCCTTTGTTCTTTCAGATATGAAAAGATGATGACATTATGCACCTTTGAAAAGGATGGTTTAGAGCAGGTCCACACTCTGTGGTCATGGTATTCATTACATATTAACTGCCATTACAGGGACTCTAAAACTTCCATTTCCCCCTCCTGTACATCTGAGCTTCTCCAGCTCTCAGAACAGGTTTGTTTCATTCTCTCTAGTTGCTCTGTGGTTTTTTCCTAGTGAACTGTGTGCAGAAGGGAAAAGCAATGGAGTGCTAACATTTGGAAGCAAAATATACAGTACAATGTAGTGGCTGTAAGAAAAAGGGCTTTGACAAGATAGAAAGAATGACATTGTTATAAATGGCATCTAATTTTTAGAAACATGAGTAAATAGACCCTTGGGCTCGATCTACAGAATGAACTGGAACAATTCATATTGACTTAATTTAGCAGGACTGTAGGAACTTTATTACATAATACAGAGATACTTCCTCATCTTTAGACCTAAACTTCTATTGAAGCATGACAAAAGCTTGCAGGGAAATGTTAGAAATAGTCATAGGTGACCCTGGAAATATACATAATTGCTACTAAATTTCCAAGTTTCAGATTTCTTATTTAAACAGTCTCCAGGAAAAAATAAATTAGACTATAAATTGTAAAATTACCTGTAATTATAAATGATGTCTGCTTTGTCTTCTCAATGGGCTGCCTCTCTCCACACTGTAACAATAGATAAGTTTTTCTGAAATATCTCTATGATTTCTATTTAAAAAATACTCTTAATCAAGGAACTAATTTTCCTGAATATTCATAAGGATCAAGATGCAGCCAGGATTGTTTAAATGTAATTAATATTAATATAACTAATTATATTGTCCAAGAATCTTGAGTGTATTGCTTGTGGAGAAGGACATGTCCTACAGAAAGAGGTACTTGAACTTCACTGTAACAGAAATGAAATGACAGAAGATTCATAACAGGAAAATAATCATCTATAGAGAGCAAACTCTAAATTGGTAGCTATGGCAGTTTGTACCAGGCAAGAATTAAGCTGACAGTCTCAAGGCACATACTCCATTCCTGAAAATAAAAATGGTTTAGAATAAATGCATTAAAATTTTTGACAATGCCACACCTGATCTCTTGAGACCAGGGAGTGGGGGGGTGGTCTAAAAAGAATAACCAGTGGAAGGGATGCAGTTGTGTTCATATCAGTTTACATCTATTTCTATCTGATTTCTAGGACAAATTGCAGCCTGCAGCTGATGTACACAGGGCTCCTAACTAGCTTCTTTAATTGGTTGCTTTACATGGAGTCAGATAATATCGTTAAGCAACAGAATGTTATAATGAACTGAGGACTGCACTTGAAAAATAAGCTATGCTATTTTTTCAGGCTGGTAAAACACAGATTGCTTTCAGTTATTTTTCTTGGCAGGCCTATTGTTTCTGCCCATAGCCTGTCAAGCTAGCATAGTACCCAGATGGTTCTAAGGCTCTAGGGCACCTGTATAACTCACATCAGACTTTAACATAAAAGTAGTAATATTTATATATTTGCATTTCAGTTCCCCCTCCATTCAAAGCAAAACACAGCTGTTGTATTTTCACCCTGGCCATTACCTTGTAATGTCCTATCCAGGCAATATATCTACTCATTGCCAATTTGTAGTAATGTTCCTGCATTTCTCTTCTTTCTAGCCCTTGTGTAAAGCCACACTTGAATTAACACATCTCATGTAGCTCAAAGAAGAAAGCAGCATACCAGGAGATTCTTCTGTTTTGTATAATTTAAAAACCTAATAATTTTTAAGGTATTTTTTACACCACTCAGACTTACTGATGAGGTGTTATTTCTCTTATCTTCAAACCTGCTTTCTGCCTCCCTTCCTGTTTGCCATGTGCGTCATCTGCACCATCTGGGTTGACCTTTCTACAATGACTGAGAGTACAGCACTAAAATGTCTGAATTCCCTGATTTAAAATTGACAATGTTACATTCCTTTCCAGAGTTGTTAATTTTTTTTTTTTCTTTTAATCATTTTGTGAATGGTAGACGCTTTGCATTATCATATAAGCCCTGTGTATACAAAAGGAAAATGCAAATATTATATATTTTGATGGATAGAAACTTGTAAAGAAGATTTTTAAATAACTCCTCATTTACAAAATGACTTTTCAGTAAGTTATCACACTACTGATTGTGAAACAATGTTCCCAGACTGCTGTTTCATCTATCCTTATCATTAATTAAATATGACAGAGTCTATCTGTAACTTTAATAATTTTTAGGAGTCTTAAATGTAATGTATTCACCGACACTATACTAGCCACATAATTTAAAGACAAACAAATATCCCCAAGTATTTATACAGATAATTAGGAATCCTTGGAAAAAAAACAAAAAACAAAAAACAAAAAACAAAAAACAAAAAACAAAAAACAAAAAACAAAAATTTCAAGTGAATTTTATTCAATTAGACCAGTTCTCAGTGTTCAGTTCAATTTTGAAGGTTTTTTTGTTTCACAGAAAAAATAACACAAATATATTACTCTTAAGACTTCTTGTTTACTGCCTTGCATTACTCTGATAAATGATGTTCTTTGTTAAGATTAGATCAGTCTGCTTGAGAATGTTTTGTGGTAGGCAGAAAATCCAGAAATTAGATGGAGAATTTATATCTATAACAATATTTCTTTAAATATATTAGAATATGTGCATTTATCACTTCTTGTCCATATCTGTTCTATCAAATGGACTTAAAACCTGGATGAGTCTGAGAACTGTACTGTGCATTTATCTGCCAGAGACAATTTAATAAACAAAGTTCCTGAGGCAGTTTTACGTAGGACTTTTTAAAATCGCTTTTCTAGAATGACAGTAACTTTTCTAGTCAGTATTTCAGATATACTTTCCTTTCCTCCCATTCAAATATTCCAATACCACAAAAGAGAAAAAGGAAGGCAGTAGACATTAACCCAGAAAGTACAGAATTCAAATAGAATTCAAAACAAATTTAAGGTTATTGAACATCAATCTATTTTATTTGGACTAGTCTTGTCATAGTTGCAGAGCACAGTGACTCACAGCATAACACTGATTTTCCATGAACTCCATGAAGGTTTTTTCAAGACTTTCATAGATATCTGACCACTCCTCACTGTTAATGAATGACAATATAGAAGAAAATAGAAGATGCATTTGCAACTTTAGAGGAAACCTTGAACCCCTCTGTTGTAGGAGTCAGTGATAGAACACCTTTCCTATGAGGAAAGGCTGAGAGAATTGGGGTTGTTCAGCCTGGAAAAGAGATGTCTTAGGGGTGACCTAATTGCAGCCTTCTGGTACCTGAAGGGAGCCTGCAAGAAGGATGAAATACTATTTACAAAGACATGTAATGACAGGACACAGGGAATGGCTTCAAACTGAGAATAGTTTAGATTAGATATTAGGAATAAATCCTTTACTGTGAGAGTGGTGAGGTACTAGAACAGGCTGCCCAGAGAAACTGTGGATGCCTCATCCCTGGAAATGTTCAAGGCCAGGCTGGATGCTGGATGAAGAAATATGATTTAAAAAAATGTACCCCTGTTCATGGCAAGGGAATTGCAACTAGATAATCTTTAAGGTGCCTTGCAACACTAAGAGTTTTATTATTCTAAATAAATCATAATTATAATATTGAAAGCAGTTCTAATCTTTAGGGAACTGTTGAAGCCACACATTGAGACACGGACACACGCACACACACACACACACATACACACATATAATCTAGAAGTGCAAAAATCATTAGTATGACAGGCTCAAGACCTGATATCAAGTTGAGAAGATAAATTTCATCAAGCAGTATATTTAGTACCAGATAGGTTTCAATGTCTAAAAATATTAGCTATTGTATTTAATTTTTCAGTCACCATGTTAAAAATAAAATTTTTAACAACAGAAGCCTTGCAGGATAGACTTGTCATATGAGACAATGGTTTTTATTTTAATTTTTTTACTTTAAAGGGGAAAAATTATTCTTGGAAAGATTGTGTATATAAACTAATGCAATTAAAAACATGACTATATATACACATATATTAGAATGTGTATATGTAAGTACACGTAAAAAATATATTTGGAGTTTAAATTAGCTTACTGAAATCAGTCCCAACTTCATGATCAACTTTGCTTCAATTGTAGCTACACAGGATATGACATCTTGCATACTTTTTGTTTCCTTGATATTTAACAGTTATTAAGATCTAAAAGTTATTTAGATTATTTTTCTTTCTCTTGAATTGATCAATTTGCAAAACAAGAAATACTTTAGAAACTTCTCAGCTGTCTCTTAGCACAGAAATTCTGGAAGGAGACATTTTCTTTCATAAATAGAAATAAATTCTAATTTTATTAGATGGGTATAGGTGGAAAAAATAGACCAGCTGCCAACACAAAAGTTCCTCTCCAGATCTGAACCAGAAGCAGCAATTCAAGTTGATTACAGATAAAAAGTGTTTTAAGTTTAAATTATGCTGTAAATGCAACCATTTAAACAAGAAGTGTATTAGTTTAGAACAAAAATTATGTTAACAAAGAGAGTACTATTAAGTTTTTAATTATTCTCGGGGTTTGTGGCAAAATTAGAAACTGGAATAACAAGATATATTAGAAGGAAAAGTAGGAAAAAGTGGGTACAGAAATGTCTGTATTGATGGCACAACTTCACTTGAAATTCTATGATGGTAACACTGCTTTTGGCCACCACAGGCTTTAGTTTTCTCTGGTTGCTTGTTCTTGCGCTTCTAAAGCATCTTCCACTATTCCAGCAGAAATTTTATGCAGGCACATACCAAACTAGATAAGAAAACTATGGTTGTTTTGGATGGTTTGGGGTTTTTGAGTTTTTGACTTTTTAGGGTTTTTGTGGGGTTTTTTTTGTGGGGCTTTTTAAGGGTTTTGTTTGTTTGCTTGTTTGGGGTTTGGTGGTTTTGGGTTTTTGTGTTTATTTGCTTGTTTGGTGTTTTTTTTTGAGGGGGGGGAGGTTGGTTGGTTGTTTTGGTTGGTTTTTTTTTTTCCATTTGGCTGGTTCAGTTCCCCAGTCTAGTTGAGGTTTGGCTAGAGAAACAGACTGGTCAACTGAGAGATATTGATCTCACAGGCAGCTAAGAGGACCAAAGGCAAAACTAAGACCGAACCCAAAGGTAGAAATATTATCTGGAGACACCAGCCTTAACAAAGGCATTCTTAATAGCACATGGCAATTTTCCCCACAAGGTACCTTCTTTAATTTAGAGTGTTGTTGCAGCTTTTCATCTCTACTAGAGATGAAAATTTTAGATCAGTAAAAATGAGTTAATTTAATACAAAGAGTTATGGATGACTATGTAGGTAAATAGAGAGGCCTACTTGACCTCTGCCAAGGGGAAGAAGTCTCAGAAGCTGATGAATTTTTCAAATTTAATTTTGTCTCCAGTCTCACACAGAAAGAAAATCTTTTGTCCGAGGAAGAAAATGTTTCTTTTATTTCGCTCGTGTACAGCAGGGTTTTGTTAAATTTCTTCAGTCACTTATGTGGCAGAAAAGTGCAATATTTATAAATTAGGAGGCAATAATCTACTTATGTTAGTAAAAGATGTCTTTTGACAAAATAAGATCCTCAAGGATCTTCACTCAGCTGTATAATTGAAATACAACTACTGCATTATTTAAAAAGGTACAAAGTTATTTAGAG